ACAGTTCTGCTTGAATGGGTATAACTTCTAAGCGTAGAACCCTTAAAACGGAGACAGACGATGACGCAACAAATCCCAAGCTGCCTTCTGATTCATATTCTTTTTATTTTTACTTTAAGTACAGCTGCTCGCATATGGTACAAACTATTTCGTGCAGTATGTATACAATTGGGACGTCGTGCTTTGACATTGCCGTGTATGTAACATAACTGCTGCAGAGGATTGTGGGTCCGAGTGCCCAGAAAAGCACGCCGGCTTGTATTCTTTAAAATCTGACCGGATGTAGTCGGACATCTGTGTGATTTTTAGCATACTACAGTTAATGTACTGCGTATTGGGACACACTAAATGTTTTTCTGGCGTACTTTAGAGTATGGAAGTATGGATATTGGAACGCAGCCCCGATGCATGTTCTCCACGGCCATGATGACCTTATACGCATGTGTCACCTCCTACAACTAAGCAGCCAACCATCTGCTTCATGTTTACATGCACATGCCCAGCATACGTGGATCATTATGTGATACAGATTTCTCTGCCGAGACACTCGTATAGATGTAGATTGTTTTTGTTCAAATATAAAATGTATTAGAGAGGACGTAGCCCTATTATCGCTAACTGGTATGATGATGGTATCCAGAGCTTTTTTCAATTTTATATGACTTTATAATGTGCATTTACTGCTTTAATTTAATAGTAGAAAGATGGTAGGCGTATAACGCTCTATTGTCACTACTTGATTCTTCACTAGTTTGACATTAATTGCAGAAGAGCGCGTTTAGAGATCACCGTTCTGCACTAGAGCCAATCGCCATCAGTTTTAAAGTATCTCCTAATGGATTCTTCCTTTGGTCATGCTTCACTCCTCGCTAACAACTTGGGTAGTTTCTGCAAAATCTTGCCGACTGACAAACACCGGAAAAAATACCTATTAGCTTCTGTCTGGGTTCACTGTACTTTCCATTTGTAAAGGCGGTCAGTGTGTTGAAACGCGCTCTAGTATGACAAGATCTGATGGTAACCAGATTCCAGCTTGCATTTAGATTGAACTTGTACTAGTTCTAGTTTGTCAGGTTTGGGATTTTGTGCGTTTGCCATGAAACGAGTGCTATTTTTGTTTCATAGCATCATATATTCATCATGCATCAGGTGGAGTTTTTCATCATTCTGAAGACTGATTTGATTTGTCAGCGTGCCGTGAATGAACACTCCTGTTGATGTGTCAGACTTAATTTGTAAAGCCGGCTTACAAATTATCCTTAACTGAACTGTTAACCTGAGCGCTCCTGCTAATAAGCGCTCATCCTCCCAGATTTCTTTCCTCCTCGGCCCCTTGTGTGTCAGTGTGTGCGTGAGTGTGTGTGTCCTCTCTCTCTAAAAAACACACACTCCCCCGCTGTGTTTGGACAGTTCAGCTCATAAGCTCCGTCTCCAACACGTGGCTAAATCTAGCTCCGTATTTTCCTCTTTGTGTGTGTGCATTTAGCCGGCTGCCCTCTGTGTGTTTGTGTGCACGGGCATGTGCCTCGCTGCCCATGCTGACTGTAATGTAGCCTGTCATATATAGGTTAACGCTACTCCCTAACCTACCCAGCCAATCAAAGCCGGGAGATGAGAGGGAGAAAGCCCAGTGGCCCGAGGCTCTACATAAGGCTGCGGTGCCCATCGACAGCACGGACCGACCGGCTTATTGACTGACCGTCTGGCTCACTTGCTGACTAGTTGTCTGCCTTGCTGGCTGGATTTGCCCGTCTATCCCTAATCTATTTGTCTATTTAAAGGTTTACTGTATCAGCAGCAACAGGGATGGGTTGGGGTGGCAATAAGTGGGATTTTTTTCGCCGCCGTTACTCTTTTTAAGTCGCTGTATTTATTCGCCTGTGGGTGTCGGCTTGTCTCGTGTTTGTGTGTGGCGCCGGGGATTGGGCAAGAGAGACGTCGCGGCTCTGTTGTTGACGGTGATGGAACAGGAGTGAATAGGAAACTCTTTTCTTTCTGCTTTCTGTGTCTTTCTCACACACACACGCACGTCATTCACTGCATCACCCTTCTCGCTCTGACAGGATTACAGCCGCCTCTGTGCTTTTTAATTAATGGGTTAAATAGACCCCCTACTATGGACCTCGAAAGGGGCAGTATGTGTGTGTGTGTGGAAGGAGGGGGAGGTCACATGACTGTTCATTTAGACCAGTGTTAAAAGGAGTCCCTGTGTCCTTCTGATTAGCATAATTGTGTGTGTGTCAGGGCTGATCAAAAGGCTAATTAACACATCCCCACTGCAGCCGGTTGACCTAAGAGACTTGATTTTTCATTTGAAACCAGGAATTTTTTTTGCGTGTGACTTAATACCTATTGTGCTTTATTGCCTTTTGGATTTTAGAGTTAAGCTACTAAAGCCGTATTCTGTCACTTGGCAGCACTTTTATTTCATCATTGACATGTAAAGTGGATTAAATTAGTAGTAGGGAAGTATACATTCTTTGCTGTGAAGCCATGGCGTGCGGTTTGGCTGAATCGCTCTCAGTAGAAACAGAGCATGTTATAGTAATCAGGAAGATGTCATTCAACCAGAAGTCCTCTGTGACTTCAAGCATCCTCCAATCCGAATGTCCTTGAGGAAGCACAATCCTTCACCTTGAACCCGCTCTCTCCAGCGGAAAAAGACAGATAAAATACGTGAAATATCTTCTGAGACTGCCTTTGTTGTGTATCTGCGTCGGGCTGTATCGAGCTGCAGGCGCGGCTGCGCTGCTCCCGAGTTCAAGAGTGCAGATGCAGTCGTGCACATACATGCATGACTTCACATGCGCTGCACACTGCTTGCACGCATGCATACATTCATAAGCAGCCAGGACCCTCCTTGCCCCTATTCAGGGGGGGGAGGAGGGCCTGTTGACCCTCATATATAGGTCACGGTATGTACACGCTTTGAAGTCTGAAGTGGGTATATCATTAAAACGAGAGCTGCTCCCTGACGCTGTTGTTCTGAGGCTCTGAAAATCTCAAGTACACGAGTAGGGTTGTTTTCCGAGACGGTTCCAAGGAAAATATCATGAATTAATTACAGAGATGTGTTTTTGTCACAGAGGATGGGAAGGGTTTTACTATTTTTCTTTTCTTGTTCTTGACACATGGAAGCTGAGAGATGACAGATTTTCTAAACATGCTGCCACCACCAGCGTCCCAGAGCAAATTACAAATCCATCTGCATTTGTCTGCACGAGCCGTCGCATTCATACAGTTTCAACTCTGCAGATGTTTATTTTGATATTGTATAATCATCATATTACTACATTGTGCTGGATTTCCTTGGACGATGAATGTTTTTAGCTGTTACAATGCTCCGACTGTTTAGTTAGCAGCATGCCAGCTAGATCAGGGTTTTTCCCTGCGCAGAAGAATTTTTGGCTCGGCCCCTGAGAGATTTCAACCAGCATCAAAGGAAAATCACCAGTGCTGTTGAGACTAAAAATAGGAGTCCAACTTTTTTTTTTAAAACCAGTTTTGTTAATTAGAGTCTCACTTGCACGAGAATAACAGACATTTTTATTTATAATCGTAAGAAATGACAAGAAAATGCACAGATTTCTGTCAAATAAGGTGACACAGACTCAAAAACCCTGTAGATACTTATTGTTTTATTTATTTATCTTTTATAATGTTACCTTTTCCAACCATGGCAGCGGCTAGACTTCATAATATAAGCAGTATAATTCTGTAATATTGTCAGATGCGTGATAAAAATTGATTGGAATCTCTACTGAGAGCTTTTACTGCAACCTGTGAGGTTACTGCAGGACATAAAACAGGTTCTCCCTCTATTAAGTAATCAAGTCTAGGTGATAAAATGCTAATCAGCTTTAAAACATGAGCCTAAAATTCAGAATTGAGGCTGAATAAGAAAAAGAATGACCTTATTCCTGCTAACATGGTACCGAAGACCAACATCCAAAGTTTCACTGCAAGTTCCCGCGCTTCCAAAGTGTCCTTTTACTATTTGGTGAACATCGGCTCAATAGCTGCTGCTTTAGGGGGTCTTGGAAAATGGAATTTCCCTCAGGGGATCTCTAGATATCACATTAAATCCACAGGTCTCACATTATATTAGTCTGATTAACCTTTAACTTGCCATTTTAGCAAAGTTTTTTTTATCAGTACTTGCTCATTTTGTCATGTTGCTGTTCAAACATGGGAAAGTAATTAGCTGTTAACTGATGCTGAGTGTGAGCCTGACAGATAGTTGACATGTCAAACATTCCAAAGAAATTCAGACACAAATTCCTCAGAAGCCCTCAGAGTTTTTTCTTGTCATTAATAATTTCCTGCAATTATGCTGTCAGTAGAAGCACTTTTGAAGATGGTTCGCGATGAACTGAGGTTTGATATTTTGAAGGTAACTTCCACAGATTTAGTAAACGGCGGTGTGGATCGTTGCAGACGAGCGGTTTGTGCGTGGAATGTGGAATAAAACATGTTGACACCCGTGATGGCATCAGTCGTCATGCACGCTCCTTTTAACACCCCTCAGGCAACGCTCTGCCACATAAACACACGGCTCCTCTATTCGACGAGCGCCGAGGAGGGAGCTGCTCTCTTTGAAGAGGTGATGATCAGAGGTCAGGGGATTACTGAGCACCTCGGCGTGCGCTAGAAATTAAAATTCTTCAAAAAGACCTTTCAATTTTATTTATGTCTCTAATAAATTAGATTTGAAGGCTGGAGACGAGGCTGGTGCCACCAGATTGAAAGAGCGGCGGTTTTATGTGTCTGTCTTTTTATTGTGTCTGTGGTTCTCTTGACACGGTTATGGCACCAGGCCTTTGAAAACAAAGGTCCACTGTCACTGTGCTGCTAATGGTTTTAGGCCAAACACAGCCACATAGAGCAACATGGTGTCAGGCAACAAACCAGAGGCACGCAACTCGAAATGATCCTAAATTGTGCCTAAATCTTCAGTTGACTGTATTCTTAAATAACAGTATTTCATTTCTCTCCTGCAGAAATCCTAAAGCCACAGTGCAGAGGACCAACAAGAAGGTGAACAATGACCCCACACTGCGCATCCAGAACCTCTCCATTCTCATCAGGCAGATTAAAGCCTACTATCAGGTAAGGTTTTCTTTCTTTTTTTTTTTTGCTCGTATCAGCCCTGAGCACACTGAGGTGAAAGTTAAGTCTATTGCAGTCATCTTATATCTACAGATATGGGTCAGAGTCGCTTGAACTAAGCTCTACTTACAGCTGTACACTGTGTTCCTGAGCCGGGGTGGTCCTCCGTTCAAATGACGGGTTTTACCACCAGTGGAAAAACACAATCAGACAAACGGTCTCCTTTGCTTTCACTCAGCGTACACACAGATCCGAATGAGTCCACGCAAGCACGCGCCGCAGAAAGACGTTGCTGAGTAAACAAAGATGTATTTGCAGATGTTTATGCGTGTGATGTGGTATCGTGACCCCCGTCCAGCTGCCAGAGAAGACCCAGTAACTCTAAAGTGACGTGAGGAATGTAAAGCACACTGATGTGGTGCCGAGTCTCCTGCTTACTCTGATGCATGTCTGGTATTTATTTTACTTTTCGCCGCTTCGACTTCCCTGATTTTATCTCCAAATCTGCTCGTTCAGAACGACGTGTAGTGAAGTTTTTATCTCATGTTCAGTCAGTGTTAACTGCTCATCGGGACTTGTCGGTTTCCGCTCCCGCTGCGGTTAATCATTACTTGAACCAAAAGGAAATAAAGGAAACTTCCCTTTTATCTCGCGAGCTGAAGAAAACAGTAGAGAGATGAAAGGAGGAGGGGTTCTCTGATAACAAGACATGAGGAAAGTGAGGCCCACGCTTATGAAACACAGCACATTTGATGAGCTGATCGCTGTAGATGCAGGTAATACAGCGCTGTTACTTTCAGGCCACTACATGGTTGAATTGCATGTATCAAACAACTTGGGTCTGCAGCCCAGATCCAAAGCTAAATGCCAAATAGTAACAGATCTATAATCCATCTCTATCTCTGTGGCTGAGTGTAAATATGTAGTTTTTCTGCTTTGCACTGCTCACGATTTCCCATTGATGGTATCAAACGAGAGAAAGAGTAACGGTACCTTGTGTCAATGCAATAGGAATGAACTTGTATGTATTGAGAATGCAGTGTTGCAGGTTTTTACCATCACCTGAGCTCCTGAACCCTAAATGACCTCCTGCAAATCCCAGGAAGCCTCGTTTTTCCTCACTGACCGTGCAAATTAATGCTAAGATTTATCCAAATGTCAGGTGTTGGTATGTGTGTAGTTTCTGATGGTTTTCTGCACAATAATGAGCCTTTGCAGCTTCTTGCTACAGTTGTGCCTTTAAAGTCTGTTTTCCAGCTCGTCCCCTGCAGTCGTTGCTGCAATGCACAGCTGGATTTCTCTACTGTGCGCAACCCCTATACCAATTGTGAAACCCACAAGTTTGGCAAATGCAAACAATCCACAGACAATATGATTCACTTTATTGCTGCAACAGTGTCTCAGCGGGGTTTGTGATAACTGGGAGTCAAGCGTGACCCGGCACGCTGTTGCGACAGTACAGTGAGTTCAGGAATGTTATCGTGGCCGAGCAGTCGCGCTGACAGAGGCGCAGGTTTCCCACACTTCAGATTTCAGACAGTTTTTGGTTCGTGTCCTCGCGGTACGACGCATGTTTGAATGAATTTATCACAGACATTGGAGCATTTATAGATTTAAAAGAGCATGAAATTGAGAATACATTGAGTGTAAGGCTTGCTATGCTTTTTAGCTGAACGTCATGACTGTTCCTCAGTGTTGGAGTTAGGGCTGCAGCTAATGATTGTTTTCATCGTCGATTAATCTCCTGATTATGTTCTCCATTCATCAATGAGTTGTTTGATCTATAAAGTGCCAGAAATGGATGAAAATTGTCGATCTATGTTCCCCAAAACCCAAGATGACGTCCTCAAATGTCTAGTTTTACACACAAACCTCAAATATTTAGTTTATGGAAGAATAAAGAAAGCAGAAAATATTCAAATTTAAGAAGCTGGACTTTATTGTCCTAAAAAAATGCTCCTATGAAATAGTTATCAAAATGGTTGGCGATTAAGTTGCAGATTTGGTTGCACTAATCCTATCAGTCCTTTTGTTTTGATCGATTTAAATTGTTTATAAACCATTTTTCATGTCCGATTTACCGTCTTTGATTTAGAGCGAATAATGTCACTGATTATCTAAGTGCTTTGTTAGGCCGCCTTGTTTCCGAACATCCTGTTAATCACTCCTGGGTCATCTTATTTAAACAGTCGGTCTATTGTGTTGACTTTGGCTTCATAAGCCTACAAAAGCTCCACTAGGCTGCTTCAAAAGGGCTCGCAGCATTATCTGTGTCAGAGTCGGTGGCTGCTGAGGGTTAAGTAGTGACCAGTTGGTGGATGATGAGATGACAGAGAGCGTTAACGACATTATCGAGGGGCGACCGGGTGACTCGGTCAGCGGCAATACATACCCTCTATTTCACAATAATCCCCATGTTTTCTGATTTATGTTTCAAAATAAGAAACTCTAAAGTGGTGCATGCATTATAAACTTAATCTCGTCTATTTTTGCAACTTCCTTTGCTTTTCAATTGCACTTTTTCAACATGAACAGCAAACGACAGATCAACATGTGGATTTTGTTTGACCTGTTGCACTGTTAAACAACAGCAGAGGGACGAACTTCCATATAGGATGTTGGCTTTGTGGGTAAACTGGTGCTGTCCTGGTTACACTACATGCTAATCTGTGTGCTTTTAGCTTTAACATTGTAAACCAACAACGAGACTCTTGTTCGTCTACAGCGTTTGATTAATCTGCCCTGTTTGTCCGTGCATCGCTCTATTGATCTCCGAGTCGCACCATTGTTCAGCCACTTGAGAGACCACCTGCAGGTTTTAAATCCCTCAGAGGGCGGCTGCACTCTTGATGGCCTTTTAGGGACTTAACCAGCCGCTGAAGGGTTCCTGGTAAGATGGACTGGCTAATTCAAGAAGGGATTTTAATCCATATTTTAGGAAGAACGCCAGGCTGTGTGGCTCTTAGAAAGCTCAAGATGCTTTGTTTGCAGGAGGTACTGGCTGACATAAGAAGTTGTTATTCATCAAAACCTACTTGTTTTATGATTAACATGGTTTGATTTTCCACTTCTTTCTGCTTCTGCTCAGTTTCACATTTTTGACAAAGATTTACATTTTTGCTGCAAATGTGTGTTGGTTCCAAATATTATTTATCAATGTCCTTGATTACTAACACTGTATTAATCTTAAAAAACATATTGATTGACCCCTAAGATTCTGTTTATACTATAACATACTGTATATACTCATACTGCATGTAACGCTAACTTACATAATGCTTACTATATACTTTACTGCTTCTTTTGCACTTAGATGTGATTAGATTAGATGCTAAAGCACATTAGCTTGTCTTAGTGCTTGTACTCTGTGCATTGATAATAAAGTTAATTCTAAATTGTCCATAATTCGGTCAGTAGGCCACAAACAGACAGATGAAAAGTCGAGGGTTATGAAGCAGATGTGCAATCATTTGTGAAGATTTGTTCTGTCTTGTAGAGACACAGAAGAGTTTTCTTCATCCCTCTCCTGCAAACATTCACACCTGCACAATGTAGAGTTTTATTGGCTTTATGTCTTCACCCGTTCTGCAGGGAAAACACAGTATTCTGCTGTGTAGTGTTGTTTGAGAGTTGCATGCTTATCGTTAGTAACGTAGCACAATTACAGCTATACAGTTAGTTTGTTATTCCAGGGCATGTTTTTTCATATTCCTCCATAGTGTCTTCTACAATATGTGCATTAGAAAGTGCTTCATCTGTGTCCAACTCTTTTCTGTCTTTCTCCATAACAACTGGGAAACGAGCTATTTAATCATCTTTTGAATGTCATTTGTTGACTCCATCCTTCTGGTTGTGGTAAATCCTGGGACCCGCAGTTTATTTTTCGACCGCCTGCTCTCGTGGGATTTACGTCGGGTCCCGCAGGATCCCAAATCCCAGCGCAGTCCTCTGCTGTCATGCTTGCATACAGCGTCCCAACAACACATGTACAGTGCAGTCGGTGACACGTGTTTTGTTGTTTTGACTCACTGGAGTTCAATATGAAAGTAGTGACAGCTTTAATCTCAGGATGTTAAGATTGTGGAAGTTTGTTTTTTTGTTTTTTCCTGCAGTGCTGTTCACAAATTGAGAAGTGATGTTCGAGTCTCCTGCTGCGTTTACCCATATTAGGAAGAAAATGTGTCAATGATCCAGGAAAAATGGTTTTGATATGTGCTTTTAGTCGTCCCTTTGTCCTGTGGTTGTTTCCTCTCTCACCCGGCTTCACATTTCCAGACGTATGGATAAAGACGGCCCCATTCAGGTTGCCGTCTAATGGACTTAACAGGTTTTCAATTTACTGTAACACTCAGCACTTCGGAGGGGAAATTGGAGTGAAGGGGAAGCCTTGTGTGGTTGGTTGCTTCCTGTGATTCAATATATCAATTTCACTCTTTGAACTCGCTCTTCAAATTCAATTTTTTTGCAGCGATTTTACATCAGAATCAGTTAGAAACAGCCCCTCAGTTAAGGACGTCGCTGTGGGTGAGCAGAGCAGATGCACAAGTCGCCGCACTGGAGCGTAGAAAGGAAAGTAATTCACCAACATGAACTCGAGGCGACGCAGCGACGAACCGACGTCCACAGATGTATTGTCTCCTCAGTAAAAGCTTCATATTTCATTGCTCGGAGGAAGAAGGACTTTATTAAATCTGAGCCCTTTGCTGACTCGCCAAAGGCTCTCCCGGTGTCAAGAGAAAACTAATTCATTAACCTTGCTGAGGACCTTTCCTGGGACTTTCCTCCCCCATTCCTCACCCGTTTGCCGCCGTATGAGATGTAATCCCAGGAGCGTGTGTGCAGAAGTTCTGGCGCTAAACAATAATAATGGTTTTCATTTCGTGAGCTGAGTTTGTGTCATGTGTGTGTCTTTGTGTTCAGAGTCTGTGTTGTTGTTCTGATCGTGTAGGAGGAGGTTGATGTCTAGACAGGCTTCGATTTTAAAGCCCGGTAAACGGATC